GAAGTTTCACCGTGCAATTTAATGAAAAGTTGCCTTTCGCAGTGTGAATGCCTTCTTCTTGGGGAACAACATGGAATTTAGGAATGCCAGATTGTCAGACTCTCAGTTGCTTCAAAACATACCTGTTTTAAACACAACAACATGGGTGTGCAGCTTTTGTTTCTCTTTCAAGTAGTGATATTGCTCCTGGAGCTGGTTCACGTCCATCTTGCTGGGCGGCCTGGAACTGTCTGTGGCTTGCCGGTTCGATGAATGACTCACTAGAAAAATGCCACTCATATATTTATAAGCCTTCATCATCTGTTCCCATAAGAAAGACAAAACGAGGCACAAGCAACGTAGTTCCCTCATCCTGGTACCATTGGAAAGAGGTTGTTCCTGGGGATCTGGCTGAAAGACTGCTGGTTTCATTCAGCAGCAATATGCACTTTGCTCCAGGTAAAGCAATTTGCTGAGCACCTGAATGCAGCTTTAAAGACAAAAATGGTCTGGCTTGAACTGTTGTTGATTTAAGACTAAATATAGGGCATGGTGCCAAAATACTACACGTAGCACAAAAGTTCATCTCACGTAGCCAGGTACACAAAAAGCCGGGATGCTGGTTGACGTTACAACTGCAGTTTATTAGAGAGGCGGTTTCCAGTCTCGCCAGAGACTTTCTGTCTTCCTTCTTCTTCTTGCATTTTCTTCTGTTTATTTTGAGTGATTGATTAAACACCCTCAACTTGATTTTAACTCCTAGTGACTACACAGATGGGTTTTAAAAAATATATTTAAATAAATAAAGTATTTATTTCTATTTTGTATTAGTATGGTTGGGTGTACAGACACCCAGGCATTTAGATTGGATCTGGCATTTTTGTCACCCTGTCGAGTCCTTCCCAGATGTTGTTTAATGATATTTAAAGGTATTGTAACACTATCTAAGCTGTTCCGAGTAAAACCGCCTTTGGCAATTAACTGATGGTAATTTTGTGAATGCCAATGGCGTTCAAGTGGCGCTCAGAATGTCTTGGGATTGTAAGGTGTCTATTAGGACTGGTATTGTTTTTGCTTTCTTTGGCAACTTCTTATACTTGTATTTGCAGATCTCTCTATTTTGGGATTTTCTCCAGTTTCTTCCAGAGGTGAATATTCAGCAGATTCTGACCAGTTCTGGAGAAGCGGTAGTGGAAGTTTTGAGTAGTTCATAGAACCAGCAAATCCCACCTTCTGACTGGCCCCGCCCCCATCTATTCTCTGCCTCCCAGCTGATTGGCTGGGTCTTCTTTGGTTGCCCTGCACAGGAGAACGGAGCTGGAAAGCAGGCTAGTGGGATAGGGAGGGAATTGGGATTTTGCAGTATCCTTCCCCTGCGACACCCACCAAGCCACGCCTACCAAGTCACACCATGTCCACAGACTCAATAGTAAAAATTTTGAATCCCACTACTGGTTTCTTCTCTTCTCTTCTGCTGTCTCCAGGCATTGTCATATCCACTATCCAGACTTTTAAAAATCTTATTGTTAAGTCTGGGATATTATTTAGTCTGTTTTAAATTGAAAGTCTCGGAGCACTTTAGCTTTTTCATTTTCCATGACTTTATCTATTTTGAGGTCCCATTTAATTCTTGCTTGCAGGTATTATATTATTATTTATTTATTTATTCGATTTATATAGCTGCCCATCTCAAACAAGTGACTCTGAGCAGTGAACAATCACAAAATCAATTAAAACCAAATTACAATCACAATAAGAAAATTAAGTGTGTACAGCAGCCAAGAAGAATGACAATCCATAGATGTTAATACAACCAGGAAATAAGGCCCTTCACACACTCAGGTCCCAGACCTCGGCAATTTTATTGTTTATTTTACAATATCCTATTATTTCAGGTAGATGCCATGGCTAACAATGCCAGGATGGTGATGGTGATTTTAATTGATCCCAACTCCAGAACAGTGGAAGATCAGCATGGCACAATTAGAGCTTGGAACATTTAACCGCTGGAACACTTTGCACACTCCCCACCCGTGAGAAATGGATGATGTACTTCTCCAGCAGTAAATTCTTGACTTTCCAAAGAAACAAAAGGAATTTATACAATGTGCTGCTAGGGAGTCAAAAGAGATCATTTCTATAAGGTCTCCTGAAATGTTTGAATCAAAGATATACAAAACAATGGTTTAGCAGCTTAATTAAAAAACAAAGCAAAAAAAAACCCTGCCTAAATTGGATGGTTTCTAATCAGTGTCACTACTGATGTTCAAGAGGAGTTTGATAAGGCTCATTTGCATAATAAAAGATATCTTTGGCCTGCTGTTATTCTACTGCAAGCAATAGCTATATTGTTATCTAAATTACATAAAAGATGTTGCTGAGCTATTTTCTTCCTATCTGAGAAAGCTAAATATTCAGGGCCTAAAGAGGGGTCATTTTGCAATGAAAGAACATGGCCTGTTGAATTTCTACCTTCCTTATAGCTCTTAAGTGTAAGAACTTTTTTGTAAATGGTCGTTACCGTTGGGCTTTTCCAATGACATGATTCTCATCCAGACTGCAAACTAGCAAGCTTTTCTCATCATCAAATCTTGGTGGCTGAAACAATAAATTTGTTGAAGGCCTACATGCAAGGAGTACATATGAAAAAATAAAAACTCAGCAATTTTGGTGAGTGGGGAAAAAAAAGTAAGTGTAGAACAAAGGTGGTATTCAGCAGGTTCTGATCAATTCTGGGGAATCGGTAGCAGAAATTTTGAGTAGTTCAGAGAACCCGTAGTAACCTTCCCCCAGGAGTGTGGAGGGATTGGAGATTTTACAATATCCTTCCCCTGCCACACCCACCGGGCCACACCCATCAAGACAAACCACGCCCACCAAGCCACACCCACAGAACCAGTAGTCAAAAAAAATTGAATCTCACCACTGGTGTAGAAGAATTATTCCCAAGCGTTTTAACTGAAACAACAGCAAAATTACCTTTCTGGATTAAACTGTGAAATGAAGCTGAATTTGGTATGGATATCATAAAAGGGCTGAAATAATGCCACCATTGTGACTCAGCCCATACATTTCATGAGCTGCATTTGGGGGAAAACTCAGAAAGTGCTACAGATACCTGCTTGGCCTCTTGGAAGAAAGATAGGATTTAGCACAATCAATCCCATGTCAAGGTTGTGTGTGTGAGTGTGTGCACGCACAAAGGTAGAGGTTGGTGCATGTAGGCTTACAAGATAGATGGCCAAAGGACATGATCCCTTTTTAATCCTCATGCCTTCCAGCCAGCAGGCATAACCTTAAAATCAAGTGTCTATGGAGCGTCTCAACCAATCAGCTCATGATTGTCCCAAATATGTTTTTTTCAAAAGGCAACTGGACTGTCTTGTTTTTTTCCCCTTGAAAACATTTTGCTTCTAATCCAAGAAGTTAGAACTGAAGAAGCTTCTTAGATGAGAAGTGAAACATTTTCAAGGAAACGCCCCATCCCAAAGAAAGTACAGTTCCTTTTTGGAAAAAGTACCTTTGGTACTTAAAGTGAAGTATTATCCACCTTACTGAGAGTCTTTCATGCCACACATTTCTATGGTGAAATTTGAACTCACTTTTCTTAATGTTTTAAAAAAACTTTTAAAAATATTTTAATTATTTTTTTGGGAAATGGAAAAAAACATAAAGTTAAAAATACATGCATTGTCAAAGAAAAGAAAACCACACATATGAAGTTTAAAAAAGTGAAAATACAAAAGGAAAACAAAAGTATATCATTTTAGCTGCAAATAATTATGAAATGTGTTCAAAGTTACCGTATTTTGGAATTATTCCTTGTTGCCAGCAGTACTGTAGTTGCTGGCAACAAGTAGCATCAATTTGGAGGAAATGTGACAGGAGGAATGGGAAGAGAAAGAAAGAAGAGGAAGAAGAATTTTTCAATCCCAAATGTCTGTCAAATGTTTTTAAAGCCAGGACATCGGTAAATAATACTAAATAACATTCTGATCCATTCCCTCTTGCAATCTTGTTTTTTATTTGTTTTCTGCATAATGTCTTAATTGTTGATTTTACTGTAAGCCCCTGTAAGCTACTTAGAAAGCTACTTTAAAAAGATGTTGAGACTCTAGAAAGATTGCAGAGAAGAGCAAACAAGGCTAGTCTAGTAAAGAGAAGGACCGGGGAGACAGGATAGCAGCCTTCCAATATTTGAGGGGCTGCCACAGGGAGGAGGAAGGGGTCAGGCTATTTTCTAAAGCACCTGTAGGCCAGACAAGGAATAATGGATGGAAACTGAACAAGGAGAGATTCAACCTGAAAATAAAGAGAAACTTTCTGACACTGAGAACAATCAACCAATGGAACAGAAGTTGCCCTCGGAAGTTGTGAGAGCGACATCAGTTGAGACTTTCAAGAAGAGACTGGACTGCCATTTGTCAGAAATGGTGTAGGGTTTCCCGCTTGGGCGGTGGGTGGGGTTGGACTAGGTGACCTACAATGTCCCTTCCAACTCTGATTACTGGTATCTGTTATCTGATAAAGGGACTGGAGACCAAAACATATGATGAACAGTTGCAGGAACTGGGCTTGGCTAGTCTAGTAAAGAGAAGAACCAGGGGAGACATGATAGAGGTCTTCCAATATTTGAGGGGCTGCCACAGGGAGGAGGAAGGGGTCAAGCTATTTTCTAAAGAGCCTGTAGGTGTGTGTGTGTGTGTTGGACTAAATGACCTACACGTCCCTTCCAACTCTGTTAATCTGTATAGTGTGAGATGGGCAACCATGACAGATAGATGGATGGATAATTTTCACTTTTGTTTAATTTCTGCTTCTAGCATCGCTCTAAACAGATCCTTCACAGGGAGGCTGTGCGCTCCAGTTCCCTTTTACGCTCGGGTGTTGGGGTGAACATGGAAAGCTCTGCATACTCCGGACGGATGTGTGGGCGGGCCGGCCGGCTGAGAGGTGGGAAATCCGGATCCTGCATCACTGCCCCGGAGAAAGCAGCCAGCAGGGAGCGCGGCTCTCGGCTCTCTGCAAAGGAGGCGTCGGCGTCCGGAGCTGCTTCCACGTCGCCTCCCACCGCGCTCGCCAAGAGGAGGAAGCGGAGTCGTCATGGCCTCGTCTCCTGGCCTCTGCTTCTTGGGGTGGGACTTCAGCACCCAGCAGGTACCGAGCAGGAGGCGGAGGCCTCGGTTGCGGCAGCAGCTGGGCGGGCTGGAAAGAGCCGTTTGGTCCGGTAGCAGCCTCGGGGCTCAGCCGCCTTATCTCCAGCAGCGCCCGTCGCAGAGAGACAAACCGCGGCTCCTATAGCGCCTCCGGAATGCAGATCCCATCATCCCCGGCACACGGGAATGGGAGTTATAGTGTCTGACGACCCAGAGAATGTCTGCTTGGGAAGGCTGGTTTAAAAAAGAAGCCTGAAAAAAACTGAAAGTCGTTTTAGTTTGGGTAGAAAATGTACTTTTAGCCAAGCTCTCCCATGAGACACAAGACCTCTCATTCTGCCTCTCCCTCTCTCTCATATTAAAATTAAAGCATAAAAATAGTACTGTGCATAAAATTTAAAAGGCAGGGATAAATTTTAAAAAAACTTTAAATAAATAAAACCTATCATTATTTATATAGTACTTGAATCATAAATATTAATGAAATAACCTCTCCCTCTCATCCTTAACAGGGTGGGGTATATCCCTGGGTAGCTTGGGCTAGAGCAGAGTTTCCAAACTTGGCAACTTTAAGACTTGTGGACTTCAACTTCCAGAATTCTCAAGTCCACAAGTCTTAAAATTGCCAAGTTTGGAGACCTCTGGCCTAGATGCTTCTCTTCTTTTTGCACATGTTCAGTGCACTGAGGCTTCTACTCTGTCAGATAATTAGGCTTAGATGAGAATCTTACGTTTTCTCCAGGTCTTTCAGTTAAAAACCCAAATAGTCACTGATAATGGAGCAAAGTTTGTACCTGTTTTTTGCTGAGGTTTGTGCTGCAGTTTCACCTTGCAGTCATAAGGCCTGTACATAGGAGTGCAACTTTATTAGGAGGTGAGATTAAGTAAGAATCAATTTTACAGTATAATCCTTTACTCAAGTTTCCACGTATACAGCCATACTATTTAAACTTGGCAATTTTAAGATGTGAGGACTTCCAACTCCCAGAATATCCCAGCCAGCATGCTGGCTGAAGAATTCTGGGAGTTGAAGTCCTCACATCTTAAAATTGCCAAGTTTGAAAAGAACTAATCTAGGATTCCAATGTTATTTTTGACAGGTTAGGCCACAACTAAAATTTCAAAAGATGTTGCTATCAATTCTGCTACTGTATCTATGCCTGCAAATGCATATTGATTGGAGATTTTTTTCCCTCAATGGATTAAATGAGAATTCTAAACGAGTAGTATCATTAGTACTACTTGGAAAATTTCTTAAGGCATGGAGCTGTTTACCTTGACATTGGCATTTTAGAGTACTCTGTTTGTTGAGAAGGGAAAAACATCATAGTTTTAAAATAATTTTAATCCCCTAGTAAGGCAAACACTGCAAAGTGTTGGTATGAGGCGTTTTAAGACTTCTTGAAGTTTACAACTATATTTAAAAGCAAACCTGACTTGAGCTCGTGAGCTGTAACATGCTCAGATGAGGAACCAAAGGTTAACTATGCAGTTAACTGCTGTAGATTTCTTAATAGTTCAATATCCGTTAGACCAAAACAAACTAAAATTACAGAGAAAGTGCATGTTACCTTATAAATTCTTCTTGCACATAGATTCTGGATCTTCTTTGAAGGGCAGGTTATGTAAACCTCTTCCTCTCTGTGTATCCTATGCTTTAAAGACAGTGTATCCTGTCAAAATAATCTACAATCATTTTATTCAAAGAGAATATCCAGATGGCATAGGCCATAAGAATTAAACATATTTCTGCAAAGCAGTTTTACACTATGAAGGCTCAGCCATATGATGCCCCCCGGAACTCTCTGGAATTGTAATTTAGAATAAGGGAAAATATTCATGGCTAAGAACTGACCATATTTATTGTATGCAGCTAGTTTAATTTTAATAGCAAGTGGAATGAGTTCTTGGACTGGTCTTGAAAAAAGCTAAGCAAGTTTAGATCTGATTAACACTTGGATAGGTAATATTTGGAGATCCTAGGACTAATAGATTAGATCTAAGATTTGTGGTTAGTTAATTGCCTCATTGTTTTTTTCTTATAAGTTTTGTAGGGGTTTTTAAAAATGTGTGGGTAGGTGGATATCACTGTGTTGAAGCCTTCATGACATCAATATTCTCTTCTCTGTAAGCCTCCATTTCATTACAGGTAGTCCTTGACTTATTTGACAATTGTGGCGATTTTGATCGTAAGTCAGTTTACTGGCTCCTGTAAATTGGGTCATCGTTGGATCCAATTTTACAACGATACTTACCAGGGTTGGAAAGTGAACCACTGCAGTTGTTAAGCAAATTCAGCTTCCTCAGGGGATGTTTTTTTCCTTTTGTCAGAAAATTGCAAATCATGATCATGGGATGGCCACGGTGTCCTGCAACCTGGTTGCCACAGGTCTGAATTGCATTTGTGTGTGTCTGCAGGAATAGTTTCTAGCAAAAAATTGATCATTCAGAAGAATGGATTTGCTAGAAATGGTGAATGGTGGGACTTATGTCCGGGGCGGAGATGAGTCTGTCTACTGAAATGAGGTGGACTGGTTGCTTTCATGGTGTGGAGACAATAACTTGGTCCTCAACACCAATAAGACCAAGGAGCTTATAGTGGATTATAGAAGGAACAGATCAGACATCCAGCCCTTGCTTATCAATGGAGACCGAGTGGAGCAAGTGGCCAGTTTTAAGTTTCTGGGTGTTACCCTAAAAGAGGACCTGACCTGGGGTGCTCACATTGCAGCCCTGGTCAAAAGGGCCCAGCAGAGATTATACTACCTGAGATTTCTCAGAAAACAACAACTGAATGAAAAACTGCTGGTGACCTTCTACCGCTGCACCATAGAGAGCATTTTAACTTACTGCACGTCTGTATGGTTTGCCAATTGCACAGTGGCAGATAGGAAAGCTCTCCAGAGGGATAATGTCATTGCCCAGAGGATCATTGGTTGCCCTCTCCCCTCTTTGGAAGAGCTTTATAGCTCCCGCTGCCTGAAGAAAGGTCAAAACATTCTCAAAGATCCATCTCATCCTGGGCAGCCTTTTTTTGAACTATTACCATCTGGCAGACGGTACAGAATAATAAAAACAAGGACAAATAGTTTGAACAACAGCTTCTGTCCCGGGGCAGTAGCTCTTTTGACTTCTGCTGAATAGTGCAGTATTGGTGTGGTGTTGGGGGGTTTCAGTTCAGTGTGTGGAGGGTGAAGGATGTGTGTTTGTATTTATTTTCATGGTCATGATGTGCACTGAAGATGGTGTTGGATTTTGTTGTATGGGGTACAATGACAATAAAGTAAACTAAAACCAAACTAAACTGAACATGATGTGGAAGATGGCCAGGCTGCGCCCGAGGGTGGGGTCACACACATCCTCATGCCCCCCAAAAGTGACCTAAGCCCAGCGCCCCCTCCCCAGTTCCCCTTTGAAGTCCATTGACTCTAATCTAGCACCAATTTGCATTTATTCTGGCTGCTGGTTTCTTGCTCCTGACATGATTTGCTTAAAGAACATGTGATGTGCTTTATGGCCATAATGATTCACTTTATTTTGTAAACAAAAAACATCCCACCACAGCTGTACCAAAGCTGTCATCTTCTATTCCTCTCTTGGAACGAGGAGAAGAAAAAAGAAATAGGTAGCTGTCTCCCACAAATGAATGTTTTAAAAATTGGGTTTTGTGAAAAACAATAGTTAAAAGGAGAGCTAGATCATGCAGAAATGAGGCCTGGGAACACTGATAGGAAATGGTGAGATATTTTTCCAGCCTAATCATGAGGATTTCAATCTCTTTTTTTAATTGAGGCTCTAATTTGCACCCGAGAAATAGGACATCAATCAGCGATCCACACATTGTGATGGTGGGAAGAAGCCAGCAAGAAGTGATTGGTCATGTAGAAATTATTGCTTCTTCCGAATTCAGAATTAATAACACGTTCTTTCTCCAGCTGAAAGTAATTGCGGTCGATGGACGGTTGAGAGTCATCTATGAGGACAGTATTAATTTTGACAAAGATCTGCCAGAATTTGGGTACGTTTTTCTTCTTCTTGCCTTTGGTCTAATTGGTATACTCTAGGTTGGTCTTCTTTGGATAAACAAAATCCTGGGATTTGCAATCCTGACACATCTGGAAAAGGCCTGTACAGGCCTTTTCCAGATGTGTTGGGATTGCAAGTCCCAGAATTCTAAGTTGAAAGATTTAGCTCAAAAGTTTCTCAATTTTGGCAACTCCTATTCAATTTGACAAGGAACACAATGTTTTCCTAGGCACATATCCTTGTTTATGGATTTAAATGCTATTTTGGAATATAAACAGTCTTGATGAATGACTTACTCCTGGAAGAAATCTCTGTTGTTTTGCTTAAGTTTGGGTCAGCATGACACTGCACTTAAGATGACATCCATCTGGGGTAATTAGCCAGATTTTCTGCTGACTAACTCACAGGTGATGCTAGAGAAGTATGCTAGTTCCCAGAACTATTATTTCTGCAGCTTCTCAGAATAATTTATTCTCTCTTTTTTTTAAACCACTCATCTGAATCTGTAAGAAAAGTTATCCAGAATGCTGACTGGGGAATTCTAAGAGTTGAAGTCCACACCTCTTAAATATGCCAAAGTTGAAAAACTTTGGTCTAACACTGGCTAGAATTCTAGGATTGTATTTAGATATATATGTTGCCCATTCCTAAATATTCATGTTTATAGCATTGTTCCAATATCTGAGGAGCTGCCGCAAAGGAGAACAGGAAGTCAAGCTATTCTCCAAAGCACCTGAGAGCAGGACAAGAAGCAACGGATGGAAACTAATCAAGGAGAGAAGCAACTTAGAACTAAGGAGAAAGTTCATGACAGTGAGAAAAATTAACCAGTGGAACAGCTTGCCTCCAGAAGTTTTGAATGCTCCAACGCTGGAAGTTTTTAATAAGATGTTGGACAAGCATTTGTCTGGAAATGGTATGGGTTTCCTGCTTGAGCAGGGGGTTGGTCTAGAAGACCTCTGTGGTCCTTTCCAGTTCCGTTAAGTCTCTTATTTGAATGTTGTATTATTACTTCTAAATGAGAAAAATTACTTAGAGAATATACTTGCAGATCAGAGATCTCTTTCTCACCCAGCATTATTTAAAATTATTTTTTAAAAATACTTTTTGCTTTTATTCTGCCCGTTGTGAGGATGCTGGAACAGAAATAGAAGATCCAGGTTCTAGTTTTTCCTTAGCCAGCTGGGTGTTCTTGATCCGGTTTACTTCTCACCAAGAATTAAAGAATTACAGAGTGGGAAGTGATCTTGAAGGTCTTCTAGTCCCAATCCTATACGGTTCCAGTCTCATGGCTGTCCAGTCCCTTCTTAAGAACCGCCAATGCTGCAGTCAGTGTGGTGTAATGGGGGAAGCTGCGGGATCGATTTGTTTACTTATTAAAGTTATATGCTGCCCATCTCGCCACAAGGTGACTCTGGACGGTTTACCAGCAAATAAAAGCAACAAGATAAAAGTATTAAAATAATAAAATTGACTTAAAATGAACAAAGATGACAAGGAAGGGAGCAATATGCACTTGGACAGGGACAAGCCTTATTTTAGAATAACAGAGTTGGAAGAGACCTTGGAGGTCTTCTAGTCCAACCCCTTGCTTAGGCAGAAAGCCCTATATTATTTCAGACAAATGGCTGTCCAATCTCTTCTTAAAAACTTCCAGTGTTGGAGCATTCACAATTTCTGGAGGCAAGTTGTTCCACTGCATAACTCTCAGAAAATTTCTCCTTAGTTCTAGGTTGCTATTCTCTATTCAATCTTCTCTCCGTTTCAATCCATTCACTTCCTCCAGAATGACAACGGATGGCAGGCCAGTTGGCAGAGCCAGGACAGAGTCAGGCCCTTCCAGAAGGCCCAGAGGGTAGGGGATGAGCTCGTGTGTGTGTGTGTGTGTGTGTGTGTGTAACTGTGTTCCGGAGACCAGAAATCATGACAGAATAGTGTCTTTTCCTGGATCCTGCCAGATGGAATTCCTTGACTGACAGGATTTATAGCATGCCCTTTCTCTTGGTGCAGGTGGCATGGGCGAGAGTTTCCCATGTAATCTGGATCCATACCTTAAAGTTTCTAGTCCTGTCTAATCCCTGGAAGCCAGCTGAGTGTCTTAGCCAATGGCCAAGATAGCCAAGTGGGGAAGGTGCTGGATTAGAAATAGAAAGACCTAAATTCTAGTCCCCCCATAAGCCTAGAACCCAGCTGGGTGACTTTAGGCCAGACAGGTTTTCCTGTCACTTATGTCTGACTCTCTCACCAGCTAGACAAAACCATCTTCATGTTATTGATTGATAGCTACACTGTAAGAATTAGGTGCGCACAGAGCAAGTGGTGCTTATACCCAAGAAGTACAATGCTAAGAATAACGTCAAAAACAATTTTCTGTTATCCATTGGAAATAACAGGCAGTGTTTGGGAACAACCCTTCTCTGTCTGATAAAAATATTTTGTCCTTCTCAGTTCTTGCACCTTCCTATGCTAGGAGCAGGTGAAAAAAAAACCCCAAGTTCTTCATCCTTCTTTTATTGTTGTTTTAACCATTCAGTTGTGTTTGACTCTTGGTGACTTTATAGGCAAATCCCAAAGGTGCTTTTGCAGGAAGCAACTGGTTTTTTTTCTTTTGAAGATGGTTTGCTTCTCATCCAAGAAGTTTCTTTAGTTTTAACAGGACTGTGGGGAACGGAAGGATTTACATTCCTTGCAGACATCTGGTCATTTACATCCTTCTCCTTGCTACCTTATTTCAGGTGCTGGATGCTCAGCTTTGAGGGTATCAAGCCAGCAACTTATTTGCTTGCTCCTTCTTGTTCCACTAACCATTCCTAACATCACTGACTCCTCCAATGAATTTGCACGCACGACATGGCCGAAGGAAATCAGATGTAGTTTTATAATTGTGGCTTCTACTGAAATGACTGGTTTTATAAGATTCAGCATTTCTCTGTTGCTTGGTCTGGCTGTCCATGGTATACACAATTATTTACATTAGCACCCTAGTTCAAAGGCATCAGTTTTTCTTCCATCCGCCATTCTTAGTGTCCATCTCTTATGCCCGTCTCTTATTATATGGAAGACTATTGCCCTAATCAGCCTCTTTAAGAAGGTTCAAAATAACGGCATTCCTACTTGATACTTCTGAAGATTGGAAGATTGTGCAGCTTTTGCACATTTCTATTTTCTTAATTTGTTCTGGAACGGAGTGCAAGTAGTCATTGAGTTATGACCACAGTTGGAGCTGGTTGCTTAGCGATGAAGTCATTAAAGAAGACATCACATAACAGACCCAATGTTATGACCATTTTTACCATGGTTGTTAATCGAATCATGTCATTAAGTGAATTTGGTTTCCCCAGTTGATTTTGCTTGTCAGAAGTTGGAAGGTCACAAATCATGGTAATGTGACTAATTTGAGTTGCCTGCAAGCACCAAATTGCGATCACATAACAGCAGAGATCGCTAAACGAACTGTTGTAAATCAGGATTTATCAGGACTAATCTGATTAAAGCAGGAATAACATTGCTATATCAAAGCATCAGTGAAAGTGTCCAAATGTGTATTAGTTCAAACAAAAACCCAGCCCTTTTGTGTTATTTATTGGCTCACTTTAACACGAGAACGGAATGTATGTATTTTTTCCAATACTGTAATTGGAAGTTGTGAGTTTAGCTGTCCCTTTGATGCACAAGTCACTAGATCACTAGACAATTGTGTTTGAAACAGAGCAGAAAAACAGGTTTCTGTATTGCTATTTGTTTTTAATATTGTTATTTCCTGCAGGACTCAAGGTGGTGTTTACATGCATGATGACAGATTATCAGTCTCTTCTCCTGTGTTAATGTGGATCAAGGTAAGAATTAATCTTTTGTTCATATTGCCAGTGCTTTTTGAATATGTCATTTTGTGGATTTGCTTAAATTTATGCAATAAGAACCTACCAGACTCTTATTTTTGTGGCAAGGAAGAGAAAAACCACTGTGGTATGTAGCTATTTCTTTTTATTTTTGAAAACCATGAAACTGTTTCAATTTCAATTTCATGAAAATGATTTTCAATTTGGATTTTTTTGTTTTTGTATTTTCTAAAGGAGCCAAATATGTATCTGTTCCTTTGAAGCCAAGAGCCGTTGTTCCTGTATGGAATACAGTTTAGTCTAGATGTCAGCTATGAGAAATGAGAAAGAGTTTAAACTGGTTTCCTAAAAGAACTATTTCAAGCAGAAAACTGTATGTCGAGCCCAGCTTTATGTTTGGAGGCAGAATTTGCAATAGAAATGAAGGCGTGGCTATTATATTCATATATTGGCTAAAATATGCCACTTTCAGCCTCAAGGTCTGATACATCCTATAGGCAGTCCTAAACCTATAACCACAATAAGGGTAAGGAAAATGCACTTCTAAAAGTCATGGTCATTAAGTAAGGAATCACATGACCACAATAGATTTTACAACTGTGGTCTTCAGGTGAATCACCATATATATTAAGTGAGACATTATGTGACCATGAATGTGATTTTGTCAGCTTCCCTACTGATTTTGCATGACAGAAGCCACCGGGAAAGTTGCAAATGGTTGATCACATGACTGTGGGGATGTTACAACCCATTGTAAGTATGAAAAATGGTCATATGCTACATTTTTTCAGCACGGTTGTAACTTTTAATGGTTGCTAAACAAGAGGCCCTAAATCAAGAACTACCTGTATCCTGCCCGATAAATATTAATTCCTCCAGGAAACCAAAATAAATGACAGATTATATAAATTGGGATTCTCAAGTGAGATATTGATGCAGCTGGATGAAGACCAAACAATGGTAGCTCTTGAACAAAGAATATTCCTTCTTTGGGCTATAACATATTTCATTTTCAACCAACATTACGTCTGATCCAAGCAACACATATTTGTTTGGACATTGCACACTTTATACCAGGGGTCTCCAACCTTGGCAACTTTAGACTTGTGGGCCTCAACTCCCAGAATTCCTCATCCGGCAAAGCTGGTTG